ATTTTATTTTTTTTAAATAATGTTTGAAAGCGTCTGATTTGTTCAGTAAATTAATGACCTTAATTAGATCTCATTATCTGTTTTCTAAGGGAGAATAAAATGCTTCGAATCTTCAAAGGGATATTTTTCTTAATGAAAATTCGAGGACTGGTTAAGGGGCGTGCGCCAATATATACCTTAAGTGAATATTCCTACGGAACTTGGCTCGTGTATACAAATTAATCAGTTTGCGCGTTACGATTCAAAATTGTTTCCTGTCGATGAGTAAGATACAGGTGTAACAGTTGGGTAACTTTATTGTTGAAACTTTTCACCTACACAGTAGGCTTCTTCAGTCAAATACGGAGTAATAAGGGTAGCAGTGAAGTAAAGATGTTGCAAACATTCCAGCAAATTTGGAGAAAATAGAATTTGACGTGCTCAGTCCCTTACCTTATCTCCAGGCTGAAGGTCTGACCACCTCAGATACTATTTTTGCAAGACCGATGGACTGATTCCATCGTTGTTACTTCGCTGCTACTCCTGCTGACTCTGTATTTAAATGAAAAAGCCTACTGTCAGCGAAACGTTTGAACAATAAAGATTCCTAGCTATTGCACACGTGACTTACTTATCAACTTGTCAAAATAGTTTCCTGTCACGACAAAGTTAATGTCCTACGATACTGTTTATCACTCGGAGTCAATATCCTGACTTTACTTTATCTGAGTAGCTATATCCGCGCGGGTCATTAAGTAGAAAGACTAATGAAGGCTCGATCATTCGTCCATTACTCACGAGACAGCAGCGCTACCGAATTATACTCACAAATCAATATCGCCAATATCTTAATTTTTTTTCCTCAAAAGTCTGTATTTGAAGCCTTAAACACAGGAAACTCAGAGACGGTCATTCCACATCTTTAAGTCTGGGGATAATCGGCCACCGTGACAACAGTGCTCTCGTTATTTGGTAATGGATTTGTTATGACTGCGATCAGCGGGGGGTTATACCCGACATAAAAGTAGACTACGGCAGTCACTGGGGATTCAACCCTGTTTTCTCATTGTTTGTGGCTCCATCTTAGGTGCTAGGAGGGCCGTCCTCACCACTTTAGGTGATCGGAAGGTCGATAACACTATCTTACATAATATGAAAGTCGTCCACACAACCTTAGGTACTGGGAAGGTCGATAACAGCACTTTCGTTAGATGAACGATGGCGTTGGCCAACAAGTATTAAGAAAGACAGTGCATTGAAAGCTTCATTACGACATTACGTTAAGGACTGGATTTGATCAGGTATACTCGCTAAATTCCAGTCCTGGACGAAACGTTGTGATGAAGGTTTCACAGCAAATATAGTTTCTTTCTCACCACTTTCGTCATAAAGGATTCGGGGACAGAGAGAAAGAAAAAGTAGTTCGTTTCCCAGGTTTTTGGGGAAAGGAAGAATGAAAAAAAAGCGTTCGTTTTCAAAACCTCAGGAGTGAAAGAATGAATAATCAGTTTGCCATCAATACTGAGGTGGGAAAAAGAATAGGGGTTAGTTATCAAGACTCCGCGGTTAGAGGAACATAGAAAAACAGTTCGTTGTCAACACTGGATATAAAATGAAGGTTTAAGGAATTTATTGATAGAGAGTGGAATCTGAGAGAGAGAGAGAGAGAGAGAGAGAGAGAGAGAGAAATAAGTTGACGTAGGAAGTTCACTCACCTTATCATTATCTAATTTTATACTCAGATTTTTTAGAACAACGTAGAAATAATCAAAGGAAATTTTTCTGTTTCGGTGACAGTGGGATATGTGCATGGGTTGGGACTGTGTTGGTTCCTTGAGGTCACCTGTATCTGCTTACTGGCTATTTCATTTATCCTTTCGCTTCATTATATTTCATTCACTCCAGTGCTTCGCTTAGGATCATTTGCTAAAGTCCATCACATTTAATGTCTCAATGACAAGAAAACTGGAATCTGTTAATTATGAACCATAAACTGTCTTACAGCACGGCACATAATCCACTGTGCGCACATAAAGACCCATCACAGGCATTCATAACTCTGGTGATTAAATATTGGAACGAGGCAAGAGCACTAGAGACATCGTCTACAGGAATGCCTCTACCTTGGGTTCTCCTCTCTAACGATGCTGTGGACGTCGGCTGGAATGTGGAGCAATCATCATCGGTGAGTGTACAACAGCGCTGGGTCAACACTACCAGGAGCTGTGATGACCTTCTGGGATGGAAGGAGCTGCTGGGGACATCTCCAGGAGCGGCGGTACCATGGTCAACACTCCCCAGACAGGAGTTGTGATGATCTATTTGGATGGAAGGCGCCACTGAGGTCATATTCACGAGTGGCGGTACCTTGGTCACTACCACCAGGAAGGAGCTTGACAGTCTGCTGAGATGAAGATGAAAGGAGCAGCTGACATCATCGTCATGAGCGGTGTTATCTTGGTCAAAACTCCAAAAAAGGCTGAAACCACTGGGACCATCAGCAGAGGCGGCAGACTTGGTTAACACTCTCAGGCAGGAGCAGTGTAGTCTTCTGGGATGGAAGGAAGGAGCAGCTAAGATCATCTTCACGAGTTCTTGGGAGTACATGGGAAACAAACATAGAGTTCTTGGAAGTCCACACCGAGTTTATCTGCTGAGAAGAATTGTTTTTTATTTCGTTTAAGAAAGAGTAGCAATGTCTTGGTCAATACTCCCCAGCGTAAGCGATGATGACCTACTGGGAATGACCCACCACTATGATTATCATCGATATGGTAATATCTCGGTCAACACTCCTAGGAACCTCTGTCTATATTGTATTTATGGTAATTTATAACCAGGGCGGTCAAACAAGCCATATTTTCATGCAAAAAAAAATGTATTGTTTGGTTTTTGTATTAGAGAATAATAGGTATATTCAATAAACCTTGTATTTAATATATTTTTCTGTGTAATATATTTTTCTGACTTAGCAACCTTGCATCGCCTTCCTATATTTTACACAGTAATTAGTAAGAGAAAACCAGGTACAATATATCCACTCTTCAGGTCACTTATGAAAGATCTCGTGGAACCCCAGTAATCTTTCTCAAAACCATAACAATCCGTGGATACCACTTTGAAACCCCTGGGTTAGATCATTTGCAAATATCAGAAAATTTCACTATGCATCTTCTCCATGCAGCTATACAATAGAAACATTCATACATGAACAGGTCAGTTCCTTGAGGACGTAAAATAAAATACCGAGCAGAAACAACGTGGTTTTTTGATGTCAGTCAAAAATCCTATAAATCTGCAAAAAGACTCCATGAGATGGAAATCTACAGATCCTCTCTACTCCGTGATTTGTTCTCCGTCCATGTGGGATTTGCCTGTTTATTGATCATTGCTTTTCACACAAATATAGTATAAATTTTACGTAACTGCTACCATTTTTTGAAGCTACTGG